ATATCAAGTTGACGAAATCGATAAACATGTCGTGTTTACTAAAAAATTTTAAAATGAATATATTTTTAAGACAAAAACAGACTGGAGTGGAAAACATATTTTTTTTTTTTGTATATGCCAACGAAATTGTACTACATATTAGAAAAAAATAAGGTTCTCAAGAAGTGTGATATTCAATCAAATAGGTAACAGCAAAATAAATACAATTCTAATCTTATTGGTTTCCATTTTATGTCAAGTAATGTTAGTGGAAATATTGAGTTTTCAACTTATTTCCTGAAAATTCATATTAATGTCTTTAAACCAGAGTATGATAATTCAGTTTCGTATCTATTGAAAACATTACTGAGACAGTGGAGAACATTTTCTGGATCTAGATTTTAGAGATATTGTGTTCTGTAAGCTAAATGGTTTATTCGTGGAGCCTTTATTGTCTTTCTCGACGCCACCGGTACTTACATGAACGAGAAGTAGCTTAATAACATTTCGCCATAATAGAAGCTTCTATTCAGTCGTGGATAAATCCTAATAACTTCTTAGCCAAGTGCGTACTGATGATTCTGCCGAAAAGACGTTGAAAGCTTCACATTTAAGCCATCCAGCTTAGCAAATAAACACACTTAAAAGACAAATGCCTAAACATAATACTAACAATGAACTTTTATATAATTTAATTAGTTAATTTATGGTGGTTTTCGTATATTTTAAGCTTGAATTAACATCAACTGGAAATCTTCACCTGAAGTCAATCAAATTTCAAAAAACCGTAACATATTGTTCAGACTGGGTTGACGATTGTGTTATAATGAAAATTGATTGGAATCAGAAATGTAAACCGGCGAACCTTGACATAACAGCCCACAAATATTGTGTTAATGGTTCAATTTCTCCTTGAATCTAATTAGTTCAAAACTGAAACAAACAAGCTATCTATTTCTGTTCTTTAAATTTTATCAATTCTCCGAATGATACCGGTTCTTTGATAGAAAAATAAACACTAAATGTTATTTAATTTAGATTTCGATCGACTAAGTGCTATATAAAATAAAAAGAAATTATAAATCTGATATAATCTATAAGAAAACTATTACACATATTGAGCGACACATCCATCATTGTTTTCAGTGAGTTACTATCTCACAACATACCCAGTTGAACTCCACTGCTCACTGTTTCTCACTAGGACTCCTGGAAATACCTCTTGAAGCCAGTCACTAGTGAGCATATGTTGATTAATATCAGAAGGGGTTTTGTGGATATTATAGTAATTTTAATAGTTGAGATCATGAGTCAATTGAAGCTGGACCACCATGGAAAACCTGGAAGTACTGGATGGCCGTTTCGTCCTAATGTGGGACTCCACAAAACCCCTTCTGACATTACACATTTGTTACCAAATAAAGATGAATCTTCGCATATATTTTGAAAATTTTAAAAAATATTTTCAGCATAAATATATAATCTTTATAATAATTATTCATCAGAAAAACAATTTGTTTCGTAATGATATCGATATAATTACCAGGTATATAGAAAACAGATCTGATAAACCTCTTTAATTTTTGTAATTTTAATTCACAATAAATGTAGTCAAATATTTAGAGTATTTGCCGAGCTTATCGTATCGTTGTTAATTAACATTAACATTTAATAATTACAGGTATGTTCATTTATTGAATTCGATCGATTGGGATAGTTTCAATTATCTTTTATATTTTTTATTATCAGATTGTAAGTAGTAGAATATAGACGTTAGTAAAAAATAAAAATAGAAATTATGAAAAGCATAATTAGTAACTAATGTACGAATTGTTTCACATATTATAGAAGGGAATAACAGTTTAATTACAATGGAAGTCATGAAAATTTGATTCTGGAATGTTTGATAACTAAGTGATAATTTTGCTTTATTTATTTATATTTATTTATTTGAACACATAAATAATGGTACAAAGGAGCACCGAATATATATGTGCCGCAAAAGTCACTTGATTTGTGTGTGGGTTTTGTTTCTGCCCGAGTGCTCAAACCGAAGCAGGTGGTTTTCCTAAGATGTCACACCCGGAGCCTTCGACTTGAAGGTCTGATTCACAAGGCAGATGAGCAACGTAAGGAGATGCAGTTCCATGGTAGTCGGCGACCAACAAGAGGTTCATACGCCATTTCGTTCCATCAGGATCATGGGGCCCATGTGCACTATTGGTTTAGAATAAGTGTTGTCCAACTTCTCTAGGTGGATCCTCCATATACACCAACCAGGTTAAAGCGCCGGACATCCGCTTTTCATCCTCTCAATTTCGTAAACAACACCCTCACCACAAGAAAGCAGTGAGTAGGGCTTCCCTGGTAGTGGCTGTATACGCGTGGCCATGTGGGAGCATATGGAAAGGGAGAGCTGACTCTCCTCACGCTCGGCTGTAGCAGGGTATTTGAAGGCGATAATTTCGGTTAGCAATACTTGTTCAGAATAACTACTTTTAATATTTATTTGGGCTTTAGAATTAACATTGATATTTTTGACAAAAATTTCATTCATAAAATTAAAATCTTCAAATAAAAGTGAGAACTTACTGATTTTAATCCAATTGTTTGAAAATTATCATATTTTTAGATGAAACAGTAATATAACAGAGTTTAACACTTATTCTACTGCCTACATTTTTTTATGGACACTGTCCATCATAAGAATCAGTAAATTTGCAAATATTGGGATAGTACTTTACGTTTGAGACAAAAATCTGTCAGTTATGTCAACCATGGAAGAATAGAACAAAAAGTGAATTCTGTGAAATATTGTTTATCAGTGATCACTGGAGGGAAAAACTATTATTATGTTAGGTAAATCAAGTGAGATCCGTATAGGGATTACCATTCCGTTCATTTAGTGTATTGACTAATAATAATAATAACAATAATAATAATAATAGGCATCATGTCAACTTCATGAGTTTAAAGGCATACAAACTTACCGGCTTCACGTGTATCAGGAATAATTGGTCATTTTGCGCCACCAACTTTCACTTTTACTTGTTAGGTTTAGTTTAAACTAGGAATCTTTCAAAGAACGGCTTTTATCTTTCATATATATATATATATATATATATATATATATCAAAATAGGGGTTCTGTAGAGAATGTAATAATTTAGTAGTTGAATTCATGAGTTAATCAAAATTTAGACCGTCATGGAAAACCTGGAAGCATTGGACGGCCATTTCGTCCCAATGTGGGACCCCTCAGCAGTGAGCACTGTTAGCTAGGTTGGGATGATAGTTTATTTCCTTAGTTAATTATTACTTCAGTATTTTGTATGAACTATTCTATTAATACATACAAACATATAGATAGAAAATTCTGAAATGATGAATTTCGATATTTAATTACATCAAGAAAATATAAATTATCTTACTTCATTGTTAGTTTAATCAATGAAATATCAACTGTTGTTGTGTAAATTTATCAATATTATAGAATAATCTTAATGAATTTGACCGAATGATGGATTTACAATTGTGAATAAATGTTCATTTAAAGCAATTTCTTTATGACACATTTATTCATATTAAAAAATTATATTCAAAGTTTTCAGTTTTGTTCAAGATGATCGTTTTTAGGCTGGAAGTGGTCAAAGAATTTCTTTTGAATTAAGTAGAAATTATGACATATTGGGACTGATATTTATTGCAACAAAAACTTATACTGGTATTCATATTCTCTATTTAATTGCTTTCTCATTTCCTACAAGAATTTTTCAATATGTAAATGTTACAAGCAATAAATTAACCTGAAAAGCCTAAATTTCACAGATTGACAAATGACCTACTAAATTTGAATATAATAATTGTCATTTAAATGAATTTCAAACATAGTTAGTGTGATAAAATTGGATAAAGGTGTGTAATTTGTAGCATAGAAAGATTTATTGTTACTGATTTATTTTAACATTTGACATCCTTTCATTGTGGATTACGTGGAGAAATTCAGAAGTTTGAATAATTATAACTGCCATAATTACGTAAAATGATCGACTGTCCATCCATGACTCGATTAGTGTCTTCCGTTATAACAATAAAATAACATCCGGTTGACTTGTGATTTAATAATTTGTGTAGTACACAAACATTTCATATATAAGCTATAAATCTGTGAAAACGTTTATCAATCCTGGATCAATGGGTTAAAGTATAACACATATGAATAAGTTTGCATGGAAATTAAAAAAAGGGTAACAGGTGAGATGCAGGTCTCCTTACAATCTATTTAAAATGTGATAAGTAGTCAGTCGATTATTTAAAATATAGGAGCTCAAAAATTATATGTATCTATCTATAAAACCAAAATCTAAGTCACCAAAACGATAAGCAATCAACAGAATTAAGGTCAATCACAGTAAAACTACTGTTGATGATAGTACAAGATCAGAAACATACAGCATAATTCTAAAAATTAAATAGTTTGTGAGTGAGATTTAAAAATTATCAAACTCGAGAATTAACAAAATGTAAAGAGAGAATAAATCTATACTACCAAAAGTTGTTCTAAGCTATTTCATTTATGCCCAATAATTTTTTTTCACACACTAGGCAGACTAACGGTTGGTGACTAAAGTGACTAGTTCCATGTTCTACTTTACTATTCTTAACCCTTGTGTACTCTATGTCTACGTAATTCACTAGTTCACATCAACATATGAAATGAATGGCCATAGTTAACTAGATTCTTAACCAGTTCAGTCAATGCAAGTTTAAGTCTTCATAAAATTGTTAATAATCTCTATCTACAAGGTACTTCAGGCCCAAATACACTACTATTTAATTAAAGATCTTCCAATATATGATCAATGCCTTGAGGATATATCTTACCGTATAATTGTATCGTAGATATATTCACTACTTTTTGGTTCCATATATCACAGAGATAAAATAATGCAGAGCGAACAGCTCATTACCGAATAAGGCTTTCGATAATCTAACGAAACGCTTTCTTGTATCATAAATCATGTGACTAACTGGTTATGAAGCAAACAAAAAAACAAAATCTCCCATTATTTCATTTTTTGTTCTTGTAAAGGATATCGAAAATGTATTCGGTGGAAATTTCAAGAACAAAAAAAACTTTTTTTGGTTAAAAAATCAATCAATATATCTATATGTATATATGTACACATAAAATGAAAAAAACTTTTTTAAATAAAAACATCTAGTTTTTTTAAAAATAATTGAACAAAGATAAATTGTTGAAAGCAATTACAATAACAAATAACATTATAAATAATCAAATAATAAATTTATTAAAAAAACAACACAACTTCACTGACCTGAATGATCGATCTAATTTAGATGTTGTTTCAGTATTTATAATAGATTTAAACGAAGATGAATGCTTATTCAATTGTATTAGTTGATTATCATTATCATTACTATTATTAGCATTAATATTAGAATTAGTTTTATTTAAGATAAATGGTTTGGGAAAATAATTATATTGTTGATCAATATAATTATTTTTATGTGAAATCATTTGTGACACAATAAAAGTAATAATAATATTAATAATAACAATAATGAACAATTATTTATTTTTAAATAAAAAAGATTATTTTTTTCAAAAAAATGTTTTTCTATAATAAAACAAAAATTGGCATGTGAAATTTTTTTTCACTATTTTTTTTTAAAAAAAACTGAACTTTCACAATAAAAATTTATGATATTTATATTATTTTTCTTTATTTTTCGGAATATTAAAAAAAAGAAAAAAATGATAAAGTTTAGAAAATAAATAAAAAATTAGTTAAGATTCAATTTAAAATAACAATAATAATAATAATTATAAAGATAACTAGTTATTTAATTCATTGTTAATCATATAATTAATTAATTAATTGTTAAATTTGGTTCTGATGGAAAAGCTTTACATTGACTATTGTATTTCAATTGATTATTTCCAAAATATTCACTAGGTATAAATTTGATTCTATTAAAAAAGTGTAGAAAAAAACAAAAAAGACGAATAAACAATGAATTTTTGTTGTATATATATAATGATTAATTTTTAATGAAATTGCAAAATGTGATCTGAAAAATCTTAAAAGAAATAATTTGGATATATATTACAGCACAGGGTTGACATCATTATTGACGATGATGAGTGATGCATTGTGTTAATTAATCATATTAATACATTATAAGTATCAAGGTTAAATACTAATATTTTAGAAATGTATACTTTATGCGTATAAAAGATGTAGCGCTAAAGCTCGACAATACAATATCCATGTGATTCCATTTTATTAGGTATATATGAAATACCAATATGTGGATAGACATATATGTACCTTTCTGCATATATGAATAATTAACAAAACCAAGTATACAATTGTACAAAAACAACTGGTAACATCAAAATAAGTCATCTATCTATACACTAGAATAAGCTCATGATACCATCATAACTGATACGGTGGGAAAAAAGTCAATTTTCGATTGATTTACTCATTATGAGTTTTGTTCAACATTAATTCCGTCTTGATTCAATGTAATGATCATTCAGTGTAGTATTTTTCTTTTCTCGTATGATATTTTATCTTGTATAATATACGATATTCTTGTCTTTAGTTGACATGAATTATGCTCAGTAAGTGATTTGTTATAACTGAGCATGTGATTTCATCCTAATTATTAATCAAAGTGTGTGTACAATCAATATATAAATGAGTGTATTTTTGACTAGGGTCGTCTTTGTCGTGTTTTGGGGTTAATAAATATTCACTTATACCAGTCTTTGGGTTCCTACTTTCGCGTCGTGGGAATTGCAGAGATCCCTCGTTCGGAGCAGAAGTGACAATCAGTGACGACCAGGTATAACAAATAGTATTCAAATGACAAGTTATTACAATAACAGAGAAACCACTACAATATATTCGATGAAATAAATGATATTTTCAAATGGTTATTACATTTATTTCCATGTCGTTTTGTTCATAGTTGATCGATTTATACTTAATTTATTCAAAATGATTCTTTGAAAACATTTTTCAATATAGTTATATTATATACAGTTAAAATAATGAAATAATCAAGACAGATTATTATTCATTAAAAATATTACATCATAATGTTAATTGTTTATTAATTAAACCGTATCAGTCAATGTCTCTAATTAATGAATCTCAAATATCTAGTGAATTAATCTAAAGAGTCATGATATATTGACAAGTATTGACTGAATATTCTTAAATTAAGTTCTACGGTATGACTTTTTAGTTTTTATAGCCAGTATTAATGTTTCAAACTAATGCTACTAATTGAAACGCGATGAAGCATATGTAACTCAGATTGACAGCATACTTTCTTGAATCTAACTATACGCAAATTCATACTATGTATCGCTCCATTGCTACATTCACTATGATACACAAGTACAAGGAAATTTTAATGATTTTTTACGGCTGGCCATATATATTCAGTGCAACTTAAATGGTATAAATTTATTATCGTAAATATATATATATATATATATATATATATACATGTAATAATCTTAGTTAAAAAAGTTTGTATAATACTGTGTTCGATTGTTGACATTAGAGTGCTTTTATTTGATAATTATATTGTGTTAAAATTTCGGCATCTTCCGCAACATTACTGCTCTATCGTTGAGGAAACTAAGGTAGTTTGAAATACTATCCTACAAAAATACTAACTTCAGTTACCACAATTGTATTAACAAATTGTACTTACATTAATTATTAGCTATAAACAGTGGTAAACTGGTATTCAACCCCATTTCTGAAGCAGACATTTGAAAGAAAGTAATTATTAGGTTCCTGACTTAAAATCTTGTTCAGTAATACACAGACTATGAGATGAGTTATTGACAAGAACAATAACAAATAACTAATTATACTTAATAACAGCATTTGAACAACTAGGTTCATTAAAACAACCCAATTATTTTTATCCAACTGGAATAAAATGAATATTATTTCAAAAAACCACAAAAATAAATTTATTGAAGTCATCGTAGACTTATAACTTACTTAATTCAAAGAATATTACAAAATTCAAATATGCTCTTGGATTATTATACTTTTTTTATCTTATTTCAAGTGAGTAAGTAGATGGATTCGACTTTAAACAGTTAATATGACATCCATTTTAAGTTGTCGGAAAATCTGATGTAAATGATAAATTTAATAAGTGTACATACAAACACAAGTGTATTTCATTAAAAATAAGTTAACTTTGTATAGGATATTACAAAACGAGAAAATATGGAACAATTATAAATTAATGTAGTATTTCCTTGTTTATATAGTATGGTAAGCCTACATAATCAAAATTAAGTAAACAGATTAAATTTCCTTGTGAATGCATTTGTTGTTTTGTTTTTTTTTGAAATCTATTTTTATTTTTTAGTATTATGATAATTTTCACTTTAGATGTTATTTTTATAATAAAAATTAATCATATATAAACTAGAAATAATCCAAAGTGAGATAACATGTAATATGAATCATATCATATCAAAATCACTGAATTGAAATATGAGTTAATGTATACAAATAATGTTATAAAATCTTATAATAGATACACCCTGAATTAAATCTAACTACTGATAATCTCTTAGATATATTTTAAGTCACAATAGTCTCTTTCATTATGTAAAAAGCCAAAAGGGATACAAAGAAATAACTATTGTTTTTATTACTTAATACAAGTTTGCCATTCAGAAAGGCATATATATTAGTATACTTCAGAAAGGGTTTTGTAGAGATTGGATGCCGGCTCAATGATCTAGTTGGTTAAGCGCCTGGCGCGAGACTGATAGGTCCTGGGTTCGAATCCCACGAGGCGGGATCGTGGATGCGCACTGCTGAGGAGTCCCACAATAGGAAGAAGCGGACGTCCAGTGCTTCCAGGTTTTCCATGGTGGTCTAGCTTCAAACCATATTCAAACCATATATATATATATATATATATATATATATATATATATATATATATATATATATATAAACCTGAAGGATTTTTCCACAAGCGAGATTAATTACCAGAACATGCTCATTTTTCAATTAATTACTAGATGATCAAAAAAAAAGTTTTTCTTTGACAATCATGTCTTTTTTCAAAGTATTATCTAAGTTGTACAGATTAAAAATGTACATATTCACTAAAATTTATAATTCAGCATTATCATATGGCCAAATCTTGATATAGGTTATATTTGCTTATGTAAGTCCCATTTGATAATTTCTTTTTCGATAAAAAGATAACGTGATTCCATACAAAGAAACTTTCATGAAGAATAAGTTTATGAGGTAAAAATAGTAAATTAACGGAATGGGATGATATTGACATGATCAGATTTGTTTATTTGTAACAAACGGTTAAACGGAATAATTCGTTGTATTATTTAAACTTATGTTAATTTCTATCATAACATTTCTGCCTCCAAATATTGCTAACCAATCGCCTTCAAATGCCTTGTTACAGCCGAGGGTGGAGAGAGTCAGCTCTTTCTCTCCATATGCCCTCTCAAAGAAATGTGCATACAACTACTGCCATGAAGTCCTACTCACTGCTTTCTCACAGCGTAGGTGTTGTTTACAAAATTAAGAGGACGAAAAGCGAATGTTCGGCGCTTTAACCTGGTTGGTGTATATGGAGGATCCACCTAGGGAAGTTGGAAAACATTGATTTCAAACCAATAGTGCACATGGGCCCCAGGATCCTGATGGAACAAAATGGTGTATGAACCTATCGTTGGTCACCGACTACCATGGAACTGCATCTCCTAACGTTGCTGTATCACAGCCCACACACAAATCAAGTGACTTATGTAGCGCATATGTATTCGGTGCCCCTTTGTACCAATATTTATGTGTTCAAATAAATAAATAAAATCTAGTTTCAACCTTAATACGCAATAAAAAGATTAAAGAAATGAAAGATTATAATCATTTAATATGATGAACTTCAGATTACTATTAAAATAGAAATAAAGTATTAATGGTCATAGAATTGTGATGCGTTGATGACGTAATCATAATCTTTGGAATAAACATCTAACTAAATCTAATGTTTTTTAATTTTCATGTCATTGATTTTCATTCGAAAAAGATATAATCATAAAACCATAACATCTAAATGATAGAAGTCGTAAGTGTATCTTTAAAACAAAAAAAAACTAATAAATATTTGCTATTGTCTTCGGTGTAAACAGCTCTAGCAGTATGAAGACTTTTGTTCGTCATTACTTAATACCATATTAAATTATAATTTTTACAAGTTACAACAACTTAACAATTGAAATTATTTCGAGCTAATCTTTATCTAAAAATATTTTTAAAAAAAATACAATTCTAGTGATAAACTTGACCAGAAAAACAGGAGGAAATGTTCTTCATCATAATTTTGGTACGCGGTTTTGTTTTCCAGCCGATGTCAGTTAATGATGGAAATTAATTTTCACTATTTATTATTCTACAGTTAATGTGTACGTAGCATATATATATATATATATATATATATATATATATATATATATATATATATTTAATAGAATATTTATGTCAAAAGAGCAATGGTTATGAAAGACATTCCTGTATATGACGTAATAACAATTAACTAGATAAAATGCTGATAAAATCAATTAACCATGATCAGTAATAAAAATACTGATTGTATATTTATTAAGATAATTTGGGATACATTCATAATATCTGCTTCGATAAAACATAATGAAAAAAATCCATTCATTAACTTGAACAATTCTGTTAAAGTACTGTTTAATGAATAAAGTAAGATCACCATTAAAAATCTAGAAGCACTGGATGGTCGTTTCGTCCTACTACAGGATTCATCAGCGATGCACATTCATGATCTCGCACACAGGATTCGATACCAGGATCTTTGGTCTCGCGCACGTACGCTTAACCTCCAGGTCACTGAACCAGCCGGCATCCAACAGTGATAATGTTTAACTTCAACCGATTCACGAAAATGCGCGACTATCTTCCATTGTATGAGGTAGATACTTGTCACTATCTGACGTGGATTAGCTCGAATCCCGTGTGTGGGATCGTAAATGCATATTACTGAAGAGTCCCATAATAGGATGAAACAGCCATACAGTGCTTCCAGGTTTTCAATGGTAATCTAACATTAATCGACTCATGATCTTAATCAAAACGTAACAACTTCCACAATCCTACATTGAAAAAAAACTTATTTCACTGTTTATGCATACACGCAAAATATATAGTCTCATTTCCGTCATAGATTCATTTGATTTATCCTTTGTAAGCATGCATTAAATTAATATACTATTCATATATATTCATCCTAATCAACATTTTGTGAAGCAGAAAAAAATTACACTTCCTGTTATGATTATAACAATCACTATTTATAATGATTATAGGCATCCCTGGAATTGAGAAATAAATAATATTGACTAGTTTTTTTTCTAGAAAAAAATTCTTTTGCTTTATTTTAATTAACACATTTTCTTTTTCTTTTTGTTGTTGTTGTTGTCAACTGGTTATCCTAAAGTTAGTCAGGAAGACAAAATCAAAAATAAAAAATTTAAAAAAAAATTAAAAATGGAAAATAAGTCAAGCAAATAAAATTTAATAAAAGAATGAAATTAAAATGAATAAGATAATTATGTTCAATTTAACATCGACTTATTTTGCAATAGGAATACAAGTAACGGATGAATGAATGAGAGAAATGGATAAACACAAACAAAAACAAAAATTAAACCAAACAAAAACAACTGTAAGTTGACGATTAGGGGAGAAAAATTCGATTTCATTTCAATAACCACAATTAATATTGACAAGTTATGTTTAACAATTTTGATTTGAAGTAAAATTCCTATTATTTCTATTATTCTATTATTTAATATTAACCATTTATCACATATTGAAAAAGAGGTGGATTCTTTAAAGTTCATACTTTCCTAGAATGTACTATGGTAGAAGGAGTAATATGTGGATACATTTAGAAATACTTTGTACTATAAAATCAAATTTTAATTTCATTAACTTTTAACGTGATTACAAGTAATTACATTAGTCAAGATAAAAAGAGGGAAGTGATTTTAGAACTATTCTATACTTGGTAAAGTCATTAATCTAAGGATTCAAAGTATTATTGAGTGCCTTGAATAACTCTGTTATAAATATATAACCAGTGACTTTATATCGAGTAGCATTAATATTTAACATTTAACCAATAATTTAAAGTTGTATGCAACCATGAAATAGAATGAATTCATTTTATTCTGTAAACCTTGTTGTTTTTGCTCTGTTTAAAAGTGCTTCATCCTGTTATTTTAAACTATAATCTTAAAACTTTTTCCACTTCATTATTATGATATCCTCACCATTCACCTTGTTAATTTCACGTCGTTACGCTGTCCTTGTGTAGCAATTTCGACGAACACACATTTATACTAGACTATATATTTATTATGACTGACTAAAAGTTTCATTTGCCCATGTAAACTAATTTAATTATTCTTTGCAAAGATAACAATCTCACCTTTTAATTCGTCATGATATAAATGAAATTCATCTGTAGATGTAAATATTTTTAGACGATACGGAATTTAAAAACAGAACAATCAAATAAAATTGAGGTGAGACCATAATTTGTGGACGATCTCTGGACGACGATGAAGTGACTTTGAGGATGGACATCTAATCATTAGGACTAAATGAGGGTTATAAACTAGTTAGGGTTAGAAATTAGATTTGGGGTTTTCACCACGAACTGACATCAGCTATAATGCCAAAACTCTATTTAGCCAAATGTATGAATGAATTTCGTGCCAAAATACATGACTCGTTATCTTATATCTGATTAGTTCGTTCATAAATTATAGTCTTACCGAAATTGCTACAAAAATCTATTTTTATTAAAGCCTAGACGAAAGGTAATTAATATCGACAAAAAAGAATTAAATGTTGAATAAATTTCTTTCAATAACTTACTTTATAAAACCAGAATAAGAAATTAATTTTCTTAATAATCTTAATGCTGTGAAAGCTGACATATTTTGAAAACTGTAATCTGATACACTTAAAATCCGGTCACCAGCAGTAGGAATACGTAAATGATCACCATTTATACAAGACGTTTCTGAAAGTTTCGAATAGTCTGAATTAGTTTGAATATAATCCATAGATTTATATTTATTCCAATATTTCAAACGATCTACTGGACTTCCAGGAGTAATATGTGCAAGTTTTATACCTCTTTCATCTCCACTTTCTAACTCCAGTTCTAAACCTAAAAAATATAGTCCAAAATATATTTGTAAGAAAAATACACTACATTAAGAGTATGTAGGTTTGTTTTACTATACTAAAATCCCATATATTTACAGCTTCATAAAAAAGGTTAAATTTCATGCTTTTCCTATATATTTGAATGTCAAGACTCCCTTATTTAAATAATGTAAATTGTACAAAAATGTTATTAAATCAGGTCTTTTTTCATAAATCAATCGATTGTGTAACTTTGAAATATACTCTTATGACTTTATGGTGATGAAACAATTACTATTTAGTAGAGCATTTATCATTTAGATTCGATTTCATTAAGATTTTATTATATATAGCTGTAAGACAGTGATTATTTCACACTTAAAACATTCAACTTAAAACCATCGCAAACAAATTCATTTAGCGGTTTAAAGATAAGTTTTGATGATTAGGGCTGAGTATCACGAAAGCATAATTAAAGGATTCTTGGCATTCATATCCAATCACGTAATAGTACTTAAGACATTTTGACGTTTGGAATGCAAAACAGAAATTTTATGATAAATCAAAAATGTTTTAGAATCAAATAGAAAACGTGGTTAATAACAAGAGATACGACTTGATAATCATTGTTTTGGGCTTCATTGCAAACTTGTATTAAACCTAAGCAAGCATCTGTGTACTCATCAAATAAAACGCAGACATACACATGCAGTTACAGAATTATATCATATAAAACATCACCATTACCTGCAAAATTTTACAAAAACTCAAGTTTTCATTTAACAGTATACTATACAAGTACTGACTATCTGAAGTCAGTCAGTCAGCCACAACGTAGGACCAGGCACATATATGCATCGGTCCACGTTGCCATACCACATTAGTACAGCAAGATGAACACCAGATTCATAGAAGTAGTTAAGTCAATGGTGGTAATATATAAAAGAAAGATTGCATATAAGGACATTGTACAGGAAGAAGGATTTCGTACGTAGTTGTTGACGCGTTCGACTACTTCACTTCCTATCCTTAGTTCAAGTGTTGACGCAGGTCAGTCCTAGAGCAACAAATTGCATTTATAGTGGGAGAAACGCATCTTAAACATTCTGGCATTGTTGCTCAGTGCTACCAAAAGAATCTGCACTTTATCAACGTCTTCGTCAAACAGGACAATATCCTGATAGATCAATCTCCAAGAATTCGGTCGACAAGAGCGTTATTTCCAGAAGTAGGTCCATGATGAATTTGAAAAGAATGGAAATAGTGGACAGCCTTAACAGACACCACTTGAGGTTTCAAAATCAAACGACAGTTCGCCATAAGCTCTGACTCGACTAGTAGTGTTCGAGAAATTATCTGGACTATCAGAATTTATTTGATTTCGAATTGTTTACCATCGCTGGCTAAGGTCACTACCTACAAAACGGTTGAAAAACACCGTGACCTGAAAGCTTGTCAACTTAAGTTTCTTCTTCTTAAGTTATGGGCATCAACGACACTGTCTGGCGTAACACTAAAGATATCCATATCCATAGAAGAAAATGATACCCTTAGATTATTAGAATTCTTAAAAAATTATGTAAATTACAGTCACAATATCACATATAAGATAAATACTTATTATGGACTAAAAACTTGGTTCTATTAATTAATTTTTTATACCTTACCAAGTATTTCACCGGCTTTTTTCAAAACTTTAACAGTTAACATATGATTATCATCATTTTGATTGGTTTTTTCATTCGATTGAATCAAATTACTATGGTTTGGATTATTATTTTCAGAAATTAAACCGGATACTTGAGACGATGTAGTGTGAAACGGTAATTTTTCCATGGATTTCACTAATTTAACAGCCATTGGTAGACGTTGTACTGAGCTTATTACTGTCGATTCGATAGGTTTTTGATCGCTCGTTATTAAGTTATTCTTATCAATTTCCGGTTCAATATCTTCGTTTATCTAAAATAAATACACGTAGATTTTTACAAAATAAAGCTATTAACTACGTAAATGAAACAAATGAATAGTTGATAGAGTAATTACTTGTAAGCAACATAGTCGATATTTTATATGGTAAACCTTCAGAATTAGAGTTTTGATTAAGTATGGTGCTTGAGCTGACCAGAATAGTAAAGTGAAATGGGACAATATCGATAATTCGTATACAAACAATCTTAAAGAAATAGTTTGTTTGACGGAAACCAATTAACCTCAAGCCCTGTGATCTATACAGAAGAACTGGTATTCCAATGTTTACATCGAAGTTCTGCTAAACTTATTGTGATCACCCTTCCCTTTAGCTACAAAATGTTTCTTTTCTAAAATTCTGGTAAATTTGTCATTAAACTTTGACCAACTCGTAACTCTGAAAGTAAAATAAGACGACAGAGTTAAAAGTATAACAAATGCCAGATTATGATTGCCACAAAAAGTATAAAACGAGATCCTTATTACTAATATGATAAACTGTAAATGAGAAGTCATCCAAAATATTTCGTTAAAACACTTGTCTACGTTGTTAATTTCGTACTAAATCTGACAGTGTATGTTGTTACATTGGGATATATTTTCTGTAACATTGTATGTTTATAGATATGCTAGTGTAATACAGGAAAACTAGTGGACAATATCATGATGTACATTTAACCATTTATCAAAAGTCATTAACGAATAACTGTTTATAACCATGTTATTAATTCTGAAATCACATTTCAACTAGTGAATATCTTAACTAGAAGAATGTAATTTTGTATAACAAATATATACAGAAGTCTTAATCAATAGATTTCACTATTAAAACGATATTAATTAGGTTCAGTTAAAACCTGCTTGATTAGAAAGTGGGCTGTTAAACATCTACAAACCGAAGCAAATATGAAATTTATATATTTAGTACTTAACTACTGAAAAATTTAAAGTAGCTCAACTTAAAAACAGTAATTTAATAATGATCAATATATAAACCATGAACCTCATTCATAACAAAAAATAAAAAATGGTCTAAAGTTCTATTCTTATGACTAAGTAAGACTGAAAACAGTTTCATTTCATAGTGAAGATCCCACAAAATATAAATAAAGTGTAATAATTTGAATCGCCGAAAAATTCCCATTATATTAAAACACAATTGTATAAACGAAGAATTATTGAAAAGAAGATTCTTCGTTTATAACAATTTGGTGAATGAAATCACATATAAACTAGCACGATTTTATTCCCATTTTAATGAATTATTAGACTGTGCATTGAGAAATCTTTAAACTAACAAATTAAGAGAGCATTCTGAAGCACCAAAACGCTTTGGAAATTTTTGGAATACTTTTTGATGATGCTAAGAACGTATCGAAATGGATACAGCACATTCAATATCCTAGAGAAAGATTGTCATCATAAGGATAGTTATCTGTGTTCAGAGGTGATGTGCTTGATTAAAAAATACATAAAATATAAGCTTCACATAAGAGGCTATTGAGAACTTTTGTTTTAATTTCTCTGTACCACGGTTGAAATTATCAAGTTGGATTAAATCATGTCAACATCTCCGCTTTTTATAGCGATTACGAGTTCACCTAGTCTGCAAACGGAACAAAGACTCTGTGACCAAAGACAAATAAGCTAGCTATTGTAATGAGTCTCAACCCCGCTTACTAAAGAGAGATGCCCAAGTTCGAAACAGGGAAATATATTCCGCAAACAGCAAGAAGCACGAGCAACGACGACACGTCTAGTAGGAAATGTACTCATTTATATATTGGTTTGTACACTCATTTTCGATTAATAATCAGAATAAACCACATATATGAAAAATGATTCATACAAGAATGTCGCATGTTCGACAGAATAAATTGTCATAGGCGAAAACAAAACAAATACTATACTGAGTGATCATCAAATTGAATTAAACGGAATTAATAGTGAATAAAAATCATAATGAGTAAATCAATCTAATTTTGACCCTTCATCACGTCATAACAACCTCCACAAAACTGAATCTATTCCCTTAGTTATAATCGTAAATACGATTTTGTTGAGAACACTAGTGAAATGGATAAAAGTGAAATACTACTAATATTGGTTAACGCATAATTGCATATGTCGTTACAAATTCATATTGATCATGAAAGACTGACAAAATCAAGTATCAAGTTTCAAAAAAATACCATTTTATCGGTTTGAATATCTTCACTTTGGAATTCAAGACTGGAGCTTTTATTCTGCAGAGCAGAATTAGTAATCGTCAATAGTTTTATTGGATATCGACTTTCATCAATATCAGATCCAGAATGTTGATCAATTCCTTCTTCATTGTTCGGTGGTGCTAGGGCTACGGTATTTTTAATTCCTGGATCGGTCTCATCGAAAAGATTACTATCCAAAATCTGCTCATTGAAATCGACATTAGGAATCTCACCATCACTTAGAGTTCGAGTGAAGAAAACAACACTGGCTGATTCATCATTTCCATTCTCTACTTTGATATCAATTCGAGATTTATTTGGATAACGAGCACATATTAAATACCCTTCGGAAGGAATAGTAGGAAAAATACTGGAGATCTCTAAATGATCTTTGTTAACGATAACAACATCATTAATCTGAAATATATAAAACATGTGTAATTATATTATTAAAACGCAAAAAAAAGAAAAGAAAAGTAATATTTTATGACTTTAAATGATAACTAATTATTGGTTTGTAGAAGATTACTAAAATGCTGAGATATCCCAATCTACAAGATTAAAGATTTTCAATAACTTTCTGGTTTTCAATTGTTTCACTGTTAATATCAATTTGTAAAGAAAATAAGCTTCGATCTGAAATAAACAATTCAAAAATTTTGAATAAAACATTAGTGATTGGGTTTGAGTTGAAATTCAAAATTTCTAGTAAAACGTCATGTTTTGTAAAGTCTAATCACTTTAGGAATATAACAGATATAATCAAAGGCAATGAAAGTCGTAAACAAAATGTTGCAAATTAACTGAAGTTATGATCCAGTAGTCTGGAAGATTAAATAACATCTATGAAACTCGATGATTATCAATTCAACCCCAGCGAGCTTGTAGCGTGTGTACTATTAAGATGTTTCATAATAAGTCGAAACAACTTATAATCTCTTGTTTTTAATGGTTCTCTTTCTTAATCGTTGAGATCATGAGCCAATTTAATCTAGACCACCAAGGAAAACCTGGAAGCACTGGAGAGCCGTCTTGTTTTAGTATGGGACTCTTCAGCAGTGAAAAATAAGTCATATCAGATAAAACTTTCAAAACACAAAGTAAATATATCCATTCCTGCCAAAACTGATGATACAACAAAAGTCCATGTATTTTAATGTTTGACATCTGAATAATTTAGTTAGAGGAAAAAACATCATTATTGAAAGATATACAGTTGAACAAAGTGAAATTAATCAGTATCTTATTAATAAACATGATTTCTTTCCAGTAAAAAACATCTAAAACTTTCAACAGTAACTAATGTAATTCAATAAAACAGTATTATTTATTGTGAAAAGAAAAAAATAATTACTCAAAATTCTTGCAAACAAATCATATTAGAAAATCTAAAAAAAACAAGCTTCATCAGGTTAGAAAGACAATTTTCAGATTTTGATTAATGAAGAAACGTTATCAATGTTAACTGATTGCCTAAACAGACTGTTGGAATGAAGTAAAATTGAGAACTGAAAACGGTAAATAACTAGGTTATCGAAATCAAAACTCCCAATGAAGAAATTATTGAAATAAAATGATTGACTAGGTTCCTTTTGTCAACACTTTATGACAATTCTTTCTGAGAAATGAAATAGTTTCGATATACTCTGAATGTTTGTTATTTAAAATGCATCGAAATCAATAATCAAATACTCCATATTCACAAACTCTTAGACATCAGGCTTGTGAATGAGACTCTACCTTTTATCGGTTGCTTCATAATTAGAATACATCCATAAAACAGGGTGAATATTATACCTGAAGTCTTTCAAATTTATTTGCTACGATGACTTCTAATTTGCCTATCTACCTTAGCCATCTTGGAAATTATAGTAAAATAAATCTTTTTTAAATTAATATGTATATGTTGGTGAATAAGTACTTGCTTATACACTTTAAATCAATTTTATAAATCATCTCTGTGACCTTAGTAATAATGAGATAGACTGTTTTAATTATAAATAAAATGAATTCATTCACACTTATCACAAATCAAAACAAATAGAGTAAACTAACTTCAAGTAACTCATCTCCAATCGATAAGGTTCCATCTTTGCCAATAGGTCCTTCAGGATTAATTTCCATTATATAATGATGATGTTGATTTTCACCAAAAATTTCGTCATCTTCAACAGTATCCCCGATGCCAATACCCAAACCACAATTTGAATTTTTGATGTCATAATATACTAACTACAAAAACATAAGTCTATGGTTAAATAATGCTGTATATGTGTGGACGAAACATCGGAAGACATAGGAAAAAGTCTGTATAAACGTGATACAACAGTTTATTTTTGAGCTAAAGATACCGCCAGATTGGTATTGGTGAAAGCAAAGGATAGGATACCATGAGAGAAACAAAAAGTGTTTCCGAAATTGAGTATCGTGAGCATAATACTGTGTGTGTGGGATAAATATCCAGACAGTTGATTATGTAGGTGAAGAGGGAGCACAAACAATGTTTGAAAAATTTCCGAAATCATCAGACCAACACAAGAAACTTGAAAGTAAATCGACAATAGCACTACCTCTATCAAAAATGGGACGTAGAATAACCTTTTAACGCACGAAAATACTTCAGAAACGTCTAGGTGATCATGAAGTAACACTGACAGCTGCAGCTTTGTATAAATGGGTGAACAAGAACATGATCAACAGAAGAGGTGGATACGATTAGCTACACCATGGCAACCGTTGATTGACTAACAAATACATAGACCTTGAAATATATCATTTGAAGTGATTCAACGTAATACTACAACAAATAAATGTCCATCAATGAAATTTTATGGCATAAAAATATCTGCCAAGATCTTAAGTATCCGTTCAAATAACTAATAAAGTGAAGCTATGGACTGCTAAGAATAATAAGATAAGTACATTCGGACAGAATGTTCGTTGAAACATTTAGAAGGGATAAACACATAAATTAGATTATAGAACAATGACTGTTTGGGTGGGGTTTGAATTATTATTCAATACATATTTAATGATATATGGTTGCTTTCGTGTTGTCGAACAAATAGATCTGATTAAATACTCAAAAAGAAACACGAACGCACACCAAGAAATATATCAAACATCATAATGTATAACAAATAATATACAGATGAAAATACAGAATACTCGTCTCAACTGTAGAACATATGGTTAAAGGAATTATGATGCATAGCTCATAATTCCAACTATGCAGTTATATTTATTTTTAAAGCACAAAGGGGGAATTAAACATGTTCTCTAAATTCTGTATCCCTCTTAATCTCCCAATTTTCATTCGACATCTTTGTGCATTTTGCTAGTTTTTTAACTGATTACCTGAAAGTGTGATGCTTAAACATGGTTTCGATTTGTTTATCAGTAGTGTTTAATATTAAATCCCCTCTCATAGAGGTATTATTCATTACAAAGTTCTTGTCACGTGAAATTATTAATTTTTGGAAGAACATCTAAACTTGTCTGGATAAACTGTACTTTGTTCAAACAGTACAAAACAATCAAGGTTATTCATTAGGTTTTCTTCTATGACATTTTTAATGGTTGTCATCTAGGTGTATGTCTCAGATGTTACTAGTGTTTCTGTAACAGAGAAATCAATGACGTAACTTTCATAACGTGATAAATATTGTAAACTCTTGTGATAAAATAATGCTATATATCAATATCTTTGTATGTTGGATTAATATATATAACTGTAAAAAAGAAGCCGTTTATTATGAGATATATACATAGTTATAAAAATTATTTGGTGTATAACTGTCATGATAATACCAGCGATAATAATATAGTTTCTTACTAATAATTCAACATCAGGATTGAATACATCTAACCACTTTCTCAACAAACTTTTATCATTACTATCCGTCTCATCCATACATTCGTCATCTATTAGAGGAAAAGTCAAATAAATAATGTGATATATATATAAAGGTAAGTAAAAGGAACTGAAAAATTAATCTTATTAGCTGATGAAGAATTTGAGGCTTCATACATACTAAAAATAGTTGTCTAATAAGGTCGCATTGTTAGTCAGTTTTTTTCGTGGTTTTGTAATAAGATATTAGACTATTTAATGAAAAACTGGATAAACAGTAAAATTTTCTACGGCTATCATAAATGATAGAATGAAAATCAATCATAGAAAGAGCATACTAAACACATTCAAAATTACTACAAGGAATATATTATTCAGGTATCTGAATAATTTGTAATCAAAGTTAGCCATGATATTTCAAAGAAACTTTCATAATTTCTTTGTTTCCAGATTTATTACTTAAAAGCAATTCTTCTGGTTGATTGTACATCAGGAAACGTCAGTTAACTTTTATGGTTTCTATCATTTTACAAGATACTTGATAATAAAATGGTGTAATAATAATGGAATTATTAATGAATACATCACAGCTACAATCTTGTAATATTATCTCATAATCTGATGAATTATTTTACGCATACAAATTCCAATTAACAATAACCTGGTCGATAAGATTCGATCTGCACTAAGAAGGATCTGACATACATAATATTAATCACCACCATCAATCAATCGTAAATTCATTTCAGTCTTACAGGAGGTCAGTCGCGACGCGGATTGCTCAGTGATAACGTCTCTAACTGTGAAGCTGAGTGACATGGGATTGAATCCATCAAGAATAATACAGGTACACCTTTCTGACGAGTGCCAAGTAGCACGAAACCTAGGTTCAAGGTTTCCTGTTGGCTACTTTTCAATCAACATGAAACAATTTACTTATTGGATCATGTAAATCTTTCATGTTTCATGATTGAAATCAGAACAAAACGTTTAAAAAATTACACATGAATGGATAATACAATAATAAGTAATATTTTTACACTGAATTTAAATAATAATAATTTTTTTACCAGGTTGATTGAATTTACAATTATAAAATAAAACAGAATCATCTTGAGAATCATATATAGATGCATCTGAATTATTCATTGTCGGTGTTGGTGTTCGAGTTAAAACACTTTTCTCATCAATATTAACATTATTAACATCATTATTCAATATAGGATCATGTATATTATTATCTTCAAGTTGTTCTTTTTTATCATTACAAGATGATATCACTATGAAAAAAATGATAAAGGAAGTTTATAATATTTGGTTAGTCATTACAATGTTTAATATATTACATTTGTAGAAATCATTTCAACCAAATAATTATTATGGTATCTCAGAAAAACAAAATACTATAAGAGACCATGAATTGTTCTCTAGCCTAAAAAGAAGATGTTAATGATATTTTTCTAGTCATTCATTCAGGACGAAATCATGATGAATTATTCTGATTTTATCATCGCTGGTTTATCGATAATTTATTGCTTATTAATATAAATGATAATATCTGACAAATAGAGATATTACGTATAATATTACTCTTAAAAATGTAAAAGAGTAGTTATTTATTGATATGCTAACCATGTACTGAATACTTCATTTGCGAATTTCCATCACTTATCCTTCACATTCTTCAAATTCACAATTCCTTTTTATTTTACCTTTTATTCTCTTCAACTCGATCTTCTTAGTCTTCTGGGCGAGATTATAATTTATTGACGAGCCAATCACGTATAAGATAACAGGTCTCGGATTTTGGCACGAAATTCACTCATACATATGATTAATTAGAGTCAGTTCGTGATGAAATCCGTAAATCTAATTCCTAACTTTAACCATCAACTGTAAATCATAATTCGAATCAATCACACTAATTTCTAATCCCCATTTGGTCCTAGTTATCAAGTGGACACTATCAATATCAGTCTAGCATCGCTCAAAGGTTTTCCATAACTTATAGTCTCACCGTTTTCTGCTGCCAGGTTTTCCACTTCCGAATAATGTTACAAACTACTTATGTCTGTTGCCATAAGTAGCATACACCACAGTATCACTTATAAACATAGAATTATTAAACATATTATATAACTCAGAATTTACAATTAATATCTAACGTTAATTAAATTAAATAAAACTAATTATTAGACTAGACTTTAAAACAACAAAGGAGTTTAATCATTAAAATGATCAAAATTATACATAGCAAACTAAAGATAGTCAATTTCAATTAAGGAATTTAAAATAATTAATATTTACATTTAGAAATTAACGATTCATTTAATTGAATTAACAAACAGAATGAGAATTAAAATAAACCCAACTTACAATGATTATTATTATTACTAGTTTGATTATTTCTTGAACATTTAATTTGTACATATTTAGTGTTACGACATATACTTTTAACTTTTTTCAAAGCTTGTTTACCTTCTAATCCCTCAAGATTCTGATAGTTCACCTAGAATAATAATTAAGAAAATAATTTCAGAAAAAAAGAAAAGAAGAAGAGGAAATATGACAATTATGATATGTATTACAAGTTAATAAAAGTGTATTTCCAAACGAGTTAGGTAAATTATTTTATTTATTAATTTGTTTAAATACATAAGCATTGGTACAAGGAGGCACCAAATATACATGCTCCACATAAATCATCCGATTTATGTGAGGGCTGAGATACTGCTTGAGTGCCCAAAACAAAGCAGGTGATTTTCTTACAGGAACAACACCCCGAGACTTTGACCTAAAAGTCTAATCCACAAGGCAGTGGAGCAACGTAAGGAGATGCAGTCCCATAGTTGCCGGTGACCAATGACTAGTTCATACGCCATTTATTCCCTCAGGAGCCCATGTGTACCATTGGTTTGGAATCAGAGTTTCCAACTTCCCTAGGTGGATCCTCCATATCCACCAACCCGGTTAAAGTGCAAGACATTCGCTTTTCGTCCTCTCAATTTCGTAAACAACACCACCACCACGAGAAGACAGTGAGTAGGACTTTCCCGGTAGTGGTTGTATGCACGTGGACACTTGAGAGCATATGAAGAGGGAGAACTGACTCTCACCACTATTGGCTGTACAATGGCATTTGGGGGCTTAGGTAAATTATAATGAATCGATTATTGTCATCATTAGTTATGTACAAATTACCTCCTGACTGTAGTTAATTTAATTGTGATTTCTTAAGCAATAATTTATTTTCAGAAAGGGGTTTTGGGGAGATTGTAGCAAATTTAATAGTTGAATTCATGAGTTGACCTAAGCTAGACCACCATGGAAAACCTGGAAGCACTAGATGGTCGTTTCGTTCTAGTATGGGACTCTTCAGCAATGAGCATCCACGGTGAAGCAATTTCGTGGATTGGTTGAAGTCATATATTTACACCGTTGGATGCCGGCCGGCTCAGTGGTCTAGAGGTAAAGCACTCGCGCGCGAAACCGAAGTTCATGGATGCACACTAGTGAGGAGTCTATACTAGGATGAAATGACCATCTAGTGCTTCCAGGTTTTTCATGGTGGTTTGGCTTTAATTGACTCGTAAACTCAACTATTAGAGAATTTATTTATATATTTATTTATTTTAATTTTCTCGCTAATGTGTACCAAAACGATTTTTTAAAAACAAATGGTTGATATCATTCAGTTAATGTACTGAAATCAATTCACTTGAAAATGTCTAAATTTCATAAAATTTTATTTGATTTTCAAAACTGAATTAGTAGTTTATAAACACATATTCTTCACAAGTATATTGATTTTATTCCACATTGAAAGACGGATTTTCTTTAATTCAATATTCCTACGTCGAATTATCAGTTGTATTAGTTATTATCTGAAAATTGTATGACATAATGGAATAATGCATTTATAGTTTTATTTCCTCCACTTAACATGATTTCGGAAACTGTAACCGTGTTACATTTTTCAGATATTTCATAAGTATCAAACATTGAAAAACTTACTAAGCATGATATTATATCAATTATGAAATCAGTTTCTCTATTTATGAATTTTTAAACAACAGACTACACAATTTATAGATTAATTATGCAATCAATCATTGTGAATTGAAACCTCTTCAACATGTAAACAGTCACTTCTAAAGTGTAGGGTAAGTTGTACTTTGAACCCTTAATGTAATTTATTAATCCGCTGTAGGATCAAACAACTCCAAAGAAATTTTAAACGTGTTTTTCTGATTTTTTTATTAAGGGAAATCTGTGTTTTCAAACTTCACCAATTGATATTTTAACATGGAGTTTCCACAATAAAAGTTATTTGTCAAATTGTACTGATCATTAATTATTCTTTTAAACAAAATTACCTCAATTACACGGTCACCTTCCCTTAAAACACCATCTCTTTCAGCTTGACTATTTTTGAATATAGATACAATGTGAATTCCCGTATTATCTGTTAGATTTATTTTAAAAAATAACAACACAATAAACGATCATTCAGTCATTCTAGAAGATTAAAGACAAAAATAACTCTATCAATAAGTAATATTCGTCAGTTTTTAGATATTCCTACTAACTGTGTAATGGAATTCAATTCTTACTAAAATATTATGAGTACAGATGAATATTTTACTGTAGTTAATTGATAATGATAAGTCACAACCTAGTGTAACGATATATTTCACTTCAATAAAAATCTATAATTTACTCTCGGGTTCTTTTTGTACTTTGGATGATGGAACATTTATTTAACGAAAAACTATATTACCAGAGAACAGTTCTTAGTTGTATTTGTAAAATTTCAACGAATAAATTTGAAATAAATCCAACGTTTCGCCTGGCAATCTGGTCCAAGCTGAGGTTTTAGTTATACATTCTTTAATGTCTCACATCGACTGGGCGCCTAAAGACTGTGAAACTATTCGATCAAATTTAGATGAAAGTTCTTATTTAATAATACATCCTTATCATTTCTCTTCAATAATTCGTCAGATGGAGATTAAATATTATTGAATTCTCATAATAATAATAATAATAATTACTTTTTAGAATTATAAAGCATTTCAGTTTATTACAAAATAATATTCATGAACAATTCACAATCATATTACATCATACCTTGATTGGATCCTATCTGTAGACCAAGTCCATTGTCATTACCTTCATTTTCAAGAACTGTTTCATAACAACTGAATGAACTGTTATTCTCTGTTGTCTGCAATTTAAGAAAACAGTCAGTCAGTCAGCTGCAACGTAGGACCAGG